TATCTTTTAGATGTATCTTTCAAATAAAAAAACAAATATAAATTTAAGTTTATTTCATTTTATCCTTGTTCAGTCAGAAAACAAGGAAAATTATTGTGTTACTTTTGTCCCCAGGCTTTGTTACAACTGTCCCTGTATACGGGACAGTTGTAGCAGTTTGCATGCGAGAACCAAAAACCTGTTATCTGACTTATGAAGCCTTTCATTAATTCACTTATATGCTAGGTTATTGATAAAAACATATCTTCAATGTTAGATATATCTCAAGTTAACAATAGACACAAACCGTAATTACTACAAGGCTCCTAAGCCAAAATGTTACTTTTGTCCCCGGCCTACCCTACCTATATTCGCTAGATTATCTGCTCTAGGAACAATTGCCAGCGGGGCAGCAACCATCGCAAAAGTTGTGAATAAAGTGAAAAGTGCAAGAGAAGCGTTGTCAGAGTCTAGAAGACATAATCACGCTATGGAGTCTATTGCTGAAACAAAGCAGGGTAAAGGACTCTACCTGAAACCGTATCGCAACGGATTTGGATTATTCCTGGTGAGCAGGTCAAAAAACTGATTTTATCCCTGCCTCAAAAGCCGCTGTCAAACATTGATTTAACCAGATATGCAGTGAAAATGGACATACCCCACTTTAGAGGAGTGTTTATGAGAGACAGACTGCCTTTATCTGGGCCGAAAAAGCACGAAAGAGCTATAGTAAATTTGGACAGCGATAAAGGGGCGGGGACTCATTGGGTAGCATATAAAAAATACGGATCTGAAACGCATTACTACGATAGTTTTGGCAGCCTTCCCCCCCCGCACGAGATAGCAGTGGTTCTTCACCAACAAGTTCTATCTTGTATAATTACAAACGGGAACAGTCTTTCGAATCAGTTATTTGTGGACACTTGTGCTTAAAGTTTCTCGCAATCGACGCGTTGACGTAATGATTCGTCAAGACTTGGAAAAAATGTCGGCTTCGTTGAAAGCATTCTCGAAGAAAAAAAGTCTTATAGAATTGACGGAAGAAGAATTGGCCGATTTACCTAAAGAAGTGATGGTGTGTTGTGTACCCGAAGAAATTGTTTATGTGTATACTAAACTGCCGGAAAAATTGCAACAAGATCCTGATATTATTCAATATCTATATTGCACAGAGCACTATGGTGAAGAAAACTCTGATGAGCACGACGTTGCAGATGGGCCACCACCGAGGAGAATTTTCTGCTATTATTGCAAAATCAGTGAAGTGTCAATGGGATCTGATAATGCAATTGAAGTCTCCAACCAGACGGAAAAAAGTACTACTAACTGTGCCGTCTTATAAAGATCTAGGAATTAATATACTACTCATCAGTCATGGCTAGCACCTTTACTTTATCGGATCACTCCAGTGTGTTAAGTGCCAATTTCTTTCCGCCTATTGAACTAGACAAAAACTCTCGTTATGGACTTGGACTGCTGGGATTTTATTCATATAATTCGGTTTTTAACGTGGATAAAACCAATAATTCAATAAAATTTGTGAATACTGGATCGGGCGACATTAGCGTGCAATTGAAGCCAGGAGCCTATGAATTAGAAGAAATAGAAAAAGCTGTTTTATATGCCATAAAAGAAATAAGCGACACATCAAGTCTAGAACGGGGTGATGAAGACAAACCATTGTTCGTTTTGAAGCCCAATAACAATACACTTAAATGCGAAATAAAGTCAAAATACGACATAGTGTTTACTACGGAGGCATCCCTGGGAGAGCTACTAGGATTTAGAGAAGGTAAACTAGAGGCTAATTATTGGCACGAGTCCAATCTCCCCGTCGATGTTATGAAAGTTAGGATGATTAGGGTGGACTGTAATCTAACTTCAGGGGCATACCTGAATTCTGTAGAGTCGCATACCATTTTCGAATTTGATATTGACGTTCCGCCTGGCTATAAACTGACCAAGGAGCCACAAAATATTATATATTTACCAGTCAAACCAGGGGGCCGGCAGTATATCGACAACCTCACGCTGCGAATTCTGGATGATAACGGCGACTTGGTGGATTTTCAAGGAGAAAAAGTTATTGTGAAGTTGGAAATTAAACAAATTTCATAATAGAGGAAATATGGGTTTCCGATTCGATCTTTCAACTCAAGAAGACGAGAATCTCAAAGAGCATATAAAAAATCGTCAACCCAAAAAAAAGTTTAGTTCAGCATTGAACTTTCACCGGCAAACACCACCTTGTAATAAACTCGGCAAGAAAGATCAAGATTTTTTACGATCTATTGGACTCAAACTGCGCGAATAACAACTGTCGTCGAGATGAGTGAGAAATTATCCGTATTTGGCACCCCAATCTACGATTCTTCGCTAGTGAGCCCGCATCTACACACCTATAAAACCTCGAGATTGACAAAATCGAGTGGAAAATTCGACCCGATGACAAGGAAAAATTGAAGATTCTTTCACGCATCAATAGAGATGGCGACAGCGCTAGAATAAAGATACCTTATAGAAAATGGGATGTCTACGAGCTGCCATCATTGAGAGATACGACTAGCGATATATGGGCGATTAAAACTACTACCCAATTGGAGAAGCCCCGATATGTTATAATTGGATTCCAGAAAGTGAAAAACCACGACAGTCGGGGAGAAGACGCTACAGCCTTCACTGATGCCAACATACGAAACATTCGACTTTATTTAAATTCCGATGTATATCCTCACGAACGATGGAATCTTGACTTCACCAAAAAGCTAATTACCTCAGCCTATGATTCGTATGAAAATTTCCAAAGCAGCTACTATAAGCGCGACATAAGCGATCCAATAATGGATATCGGGGAATTTCTATCCAACCCCATATTTGTGGTGGACTGCAGCAATCAACCCGAGGGGGTGAAGCATTCGACAGTCGATCTCAAAGTCGAGTTTGAAGCACAGAAGAAGTTTGACAAGGGTCTTCGAGCTTATGACCTTATTCTACATGACGTTTTTCTCACATACAATGCAATGGATGGAACTGTACGCACTGGAAATTTTAGTTTTTAGTATATTCAAATAAGTTAATAGGAATAATAAAGTAGCAATACCTATTCGCCGTTTTATTTCGTAATTGAGAATGGAAAAATTACTCTACAATTTTTTTTATTTTTTGCCGTACACCAAATTACATTGAAAAGCCACGGACAAGTCGATACAAGTACGCAAATGTCTCCGCCTCTCTCTCTCCCTCTATTTCCTCTTCCTTGGTTGACAGCCATTTTATCAGCCATTTTACAATACGCCCCGCGCACCGTCATCAATATCCCGAAAGCTCCTTTTGGCTGCCAGCCATTTTGTCGGCCATTTTGGTGGCCATTTTACAACACGCCCCGAACCGCCATGAATGCCCTGAAATATCTCCCCTGGTAGGCAGCCATTTTGGCGGCCATTTTACAATACGCACCGTACCGCCATCAATATCCTGAAACATCCCCTTTGGTTGGCAGCCATTTTGGTGGCCATTTTACAACACGCCCCGAACCGCCATGAATGCCCTGAAATATCTCCCTTGGTTGGCAGCCATTTTGACGGCCATTTTACAACACGCCCCGAACCGCCATCAAGGCCCTGAAATATCTCCCATGGTTGGCAGCCATTTTGGCGGCCATTTTACAACACGCCCCGAACCGCCATCAATATCCTGAAATATCCCCTTGGTTGGCAGCCATTTTGGCGGCCATTTTACAATACAACCAATGGACAGCCAGGGGGAGGAGCCTAATCGGGGGACCATCACCTGATTGGCCAGGGGGTGGAGCCTAGGTGGGGGAAAGGGGAGGAGTCAATATTGAAATTACAGGCTGCAGGTTTCATTTGGCCCAAGCATGGTATCGTCAAATTCAAAAACTGGGATTCACCCAACAATACCGGGATAAAAATTCTGAAGTTGGAAAATGGCTGCATTATTCTTTTGGTCTTCTTTTTTTGAACTCCGAAGAAATAGAGGATTTTTATTTTTATGAATTATATGAAATAAAATCACAAAATAATCATTTAGATAAGTTTTCGGGTTACTTTTTAGAAACATATTTTACAAACAAATCAAAGTTTCCCCCACATATTTGGGCAAATGCATCTGCAGACCTTAATAAAACTACCAACACTTGCGAATCCTTTCATTCCCATTTCAATAACTCAATGTACCAAACACATCCATCTATATTCACTTTTGTTGACGAACTTATCAATGTTCAAACTGAGACTTACATTAAGTGCAATAGCATTACCGCACCTTATAGATTTGAAAATATAGCGACAAAGAAAAAGCATGATTTTATTGCTAATAAAATTGAAGCGTTTTGTTGTAACCCCAATATTATAGCACAGCAATAATTGTTTTAACATTTGATTATTCTTATATTTCTAATTTGTTTTATTGTAACCAATCTATTTTACAGAGAGGCCGACGATTTCTTTGTCGGCTCAATATTATCATTAGAGTCCGGATTTCAAGGCATTATGCTTTTTGTTAATATTACAAGCAAATATTAGACAACTCAAAATATTGACGAATTAGACAAAAAAAATGTCGAATATGCACTGTTTTTAATGCTTATTTTGCTTTTTTTCAGATTTTATGCTTATTTTATGGTTTGTGCTTATTTACGGCTTTTTTTAGATTTTTTGTACTGAAAAAGTATATTAATATCTTACACGAACTTTCATATCAACGCAAAATGAAATAAACAAACCTCCTCTGTCTCACCCGCTATGTTTCCTTTAAAAATCGATAATACGCGTGAAACCCCAGCCCAAAAATAGATGGTACTAGTTGCAGGTAGGTACACTTTGTTTGCATCTACAGTGACTCAATAAAATAAAAAAGCCATCAAAAATAGGACAATTGTCGCCACTGAGGTTTATTGGGTCACTGCACTTGCATCAGCTGTTTTTATACGTATCGGAAGATAAACAAATGAATTGTTTTTATTGGTGTTTGGCGTAACGTGCTTTTTTTATTGTTTTAAAATGCCGAAAGCAAAACCTTCTGTAATGGAGGTGATTAAAAACTACAAGGAATTAACATATGAGAGTGTTCGATTGTTTTGCAGAGCTTGTGTTAAAATGGTAAGTGTTTTTATCTAAAAATATTAACGAAGTGAAGTAGGTACCCAGTTATTTTACTTAAAGATACTTTTACTTCTATTCGAATATTTTTTATTGCGTGTTCAAAAAGTTTAAAGACACTCAAATAATGTCTAAGAGTATTTTATTATTTTGGACCAACCTGGGCAAAATTCATTAATTCAGTTTGTTGACGCGGCTTCTAAATGTTTAGTTTTTGAGAAAATGTAATTTGAAAAAAGTTTAAGGATTTAGCTAGTCTCTGAAGTTTTTCTTTCTGTAATTTGAGATACAATGTGACAAAAAATACAATATACTTCAACACCTCAAGACATCGTTGCATCAACAGTGTCTGAAAAATTTCACAAATAAACCGAAACAAACAACAATTGCAGAATCGTTAGGATCAACTTCTGGACAGAGCGATCAGAGGAACTTTAATCTTGATTTATGCAGAGCTATGGTACAATCTAACATACCTTTGAATAAATTACGAAATGATGGATTGAAGTCATTTTTGGAGACATATTGTAAGAAGCACATACCAGATGAAAGTACACTTAGAAAAAATTATTTCAGCTCTGTATATAATGAAACCATTCAAAAAATAAAGGAAGTAATCGGAAGTCACTATATTTGGTTTACAGTGGACGAAACCACGGATGCTTGTGGAAGATATATTGCGAATTTAATTTTAGGGGTTCTTGATGAAGAGATTCCACCCACAGGATATTTAATATGTTCCAAGGAGCTAGAAGCCACAAACAGCAATACAGTGTCAAGATTTATGAATGAGGCACTAACAAGCTTTTACCTGCCAGAACCAGTTCCCTGTAGCAGTGTTACTACTGCTCTCTGACGTAACAGTATTCTATCCAAATTTATGCCATTGCACTTGCTTAGCTCACGGCTTGAACAGAGTTGCTGAAACTATAAGGCAACAATTTCCTCTTGTCAATGAACTTATAAAAAATGGAAAAAAAGTTTTTGTCAAGGCGCATTTGCGGGTGCAACTTTTTAAAGAACGACTACCTAATATTCCATTACCACCTGAACCAGTGTTGACAAGATGGGGCACTTGGTTAGATGCCGCATTATATTATGCAGATCATTATGAAAATTTTAAAAACGTTATATTCGAGCTACCTGAGACAGCTAGTAAAGCAATTAAAGATTGTCAAACGGTCCTGAATCAAAATGAATTAATTAACAATTTATCCTACATGAAAGCTAATTTTAGTTTTGTCAGTACCACCATAAAGTCCCTAGAGAAGCAAGGAATGACATTGGATTCCTCCATCAAAATGATTGATGATTTCGAAAAAGCGATTGACAATGTACCAGGAGCAACTGGCCAAATAGTAAAGAAAAAGTTGAAAGATACATTGCTCAAGAATGAAGGTTTTCAGAAATTGAAAAAAATTGCTTTGGTATTGGCAGGAAGGACTGACTTAGAGCTGCAAATGAACCCAGATGTGATTGCAAAATTCAAATATGCGCCAATAACAAGTGTGGACGTAGAAAGAAGTTTTTCTGACTACAAAAACATTTTGAGTGATAGAAGACAAAACTTCACAATGGAACATTTAAATCAGCATTTGGTGATTGATTGTTTCTACAAAAACTAATTTTTTTTTCTGTTTTTCAAGTTTGGAAACTTTGTTTATTTTTATGTTTGCTCAAGAACTATTTTTTTTGTTTTGTTATTCATTAGAGACTTTGTTTATTTCAATGTTTGCCTGTTATATTTTCTACTATGTATTTTATAACAATAAATTTTTATTTCACTTTTTTTGCTTTTTTTGGTCTTGTTCATGCATATTCCATGCTTTTTTTGCGAAAAATTACATGCTTTTTAACCGCTTATCTTCACTTTTTTTATGCTTTTAAATCCGGACGCTAATTATCATACCGACCTTCTTTTATTGTCCGGACCCTTTGTCCCTTTCTAAGTAATATAGTACCTATCAAATAGATTTTAGCACATTCATAAACTTTGTAAAAAGGATTAGGTAGTTTTAGGAAGTTGTAAAATACCCTTCTTTCGAAAGCTCCAAACTGGTCTTCCTGGGTGGAAGATAGTTGGAGAGAAGGAAGAAGGACATTCAAACTTCCATCTTCACGCTGAAAACATCACATTCAGATTTCAAGTTTCACTCTGAATAGTCGGGTTGCCTCTCAATTTTTGTAACTAAGTGTCCCCCCTCAACGAGAATTTTAATAAACGAAGTATTTTTATTCAATAACCGAGTTTTAATTATCGAAGTACTCAACATTCGTGGCATCGGCTAATTCCCAATTCCCAACATTGGTAAACCGATTCCTAACATTGGTGGCAGCGGAAAAATGAAAACCAGTAAGCGGTAAACGAAAACCAGTCAACGATAAACGGTAAACGGTGAAAGGTCAACGGTGAACGGTTAACAGTGTTTTTTCTGAAGGAGCGCGAAGTTACGCAACAGAGAAAAAGGAAAACCAGTCAGAAAAAAATACCCCGTGTATTTCTGATGGAGCGCCTAGAACGCAGCAGGAATCACGCCAGCTGAACTACATTTGGTCTACTTGAAGGAGCGCCTAGAACACAGCAGGGATTCCAGAAACAGAAAATCTCGATATACTTGGAGGTGCGCCCAGTACGCAACAAGATCAGAAAGAGGAAGACGACGTCAAGTTCGCCCTGAGAAAATTCGATTGCTGATCGAAGAAGCTGATCAAGGATGAAAGTGTAAGTCTTTTTAAATTTTCTGTTGTCGTGACGCTATTGTTTTTTTTTGTCTCTTGTATTTTTAAAGTTTTGGTTTTTATAAAAATATATATTTTTGTGAAAGGTACTGCAAATTAACATTGTGTTGGAAAAATATTTGAAAAAAAAAAATTATAATAATAATAATAATTGAACCTAATTATAATATCTTATATATACATAATAATATCAAGAAGTAACTACGTTAAATTCAACTTATTAAAACAAAAATATAGAAATTATTCTACAAAATGTCTGGAAAGACGCTCTCGATGTATTGAATCAAATTAAATCTTTCGATGGCTATGGAGATGGCAACTCTTCACAATTCTTTATTAAAAATTCTAAGTCAATGATGTCAGTAGTTAAAGTAACTGAAAAAGATTTATTATCAAAACTTTTAATAGCTGGGATGAAATAAAAGACGTTTTAGCAGAACAATTTACGGTCAAAACTCCGCCTTTTCATTTTTTATCGCAAATTATGAATATTAAACAAAATTATAAAGAAAATTTGTTAAATTATGGGGAAAGATTAAAATTATTAATTAATAAATATAAAGATGTTTGTTTTCTAAAGTATGAAAATAATAAATCAACAGTGCTCATCAAAAATATGGAAAGCACAATAGTTAATAATTTTCGAAAGGGTTTATTGGATGAAAAAATGCAATTGAGGGTAATAGCAGAAAATACTACAGATTTAGAAAAAGCTATTAAGCTATATGTAGAGATGGAATTTGAAAATAACGATAAATTCAAAAACACCAGAAATAATATCAATTACGTTAAAAAAAAAATAGTTTTAATCAAGGTTCCAATAATATGAATAAATATGCTCAAAGAAATAACAATTTTAACATGTCACAATCAAATTTCCAAAATAATCAACTAGTTTGCCTCTATTGTTCTAAAAATAATCACTTAACTTCACAATGTAGACTTTTAGCAAAACATGAACAAAATCAATTTAATGGAAGAACCTTTAATAATCACCATAATCAAAATCAAAATTTTTCGCATCAAACTTTTAGACCGAATTATAACAGTTACCAAATAATTTTTATCAAAATCAGAGAAACTTCGATAATAATATATCATCAAATAGTCAGACATCTTATGGAAATAATCAATTGTATCATACTAACAACACTAATTCCCGAAACTATGCATCAAATTCTAATCAAAATCCTTATTCTCAACAAAGAAGTGATAATTTTAATAATTTTAATGATAATAATTATAATAATAATGCAAATTCTTGTAATCCAAATTTTAATTATGCTAAAAATTCTAGAAAGCGATCATCAAACAATCATCAGAACTTTTATAATCAAAATAATTATGGACAACAAAATGATTCTTGTAATTTGTCTCGTAATCAAAATTTATCTAGTCACAGAAACCATAATTTCAATCAATATCGATTCAATCAGAAAAATCCTAAGAGACAAAAACTAGCTAATGCACAGTTACATAATATTGAGACAGAAAATAACTTATTGACAATAAAGCTACAAGCATTGAAAGAAGAAAAGCAAACTTTATTGAAAAATTATGAAATAGAACGTAAATTATTCGATAAAATCCAGGAGGAACATAACAAATTGAAAGTTAAAGAAATTAGAATTGAAGAATTGGAAGAAATGAATAAATTATTAAAAAAAATAATTGTTGATCTTGAAAATTTTTTAACTGATAAAGAAGCTACTATTGTAAAAGTGAATAAGCTTAAACTTGCTTTGGAAAAAGACTTGAGCAAAACTCAAGAAACATTAAAATTTTTAGAAGAAAAACTAGAAGCCCAAGAGACAAAGAAACCCGAATTTAATTGTATACAGATAAAAGTGCGACAACTCGAAAGTGAAAAGGAAAATTTGAATAAATCATTGAATTTAGAATGGGAAACGTTTGATAAGAGTTTCCACACAGAGCACGAAGAATATGAAAGCTATAGAGAAAATATTAATATAAAAAATGTTGGATTAGCCAAAGAGAATTTGGCAAATAAATGAAGAATTAGCACGTAAAGTTAGGATTTTTGAAGAACGATATGAAGTTTTTGAGCCAGAATCCACTGAAAACAACCTTTTAAAATTAAAATTTCACGAGTCTGGGAAACAAAGAGAACAACTTTCACAAATCTTTGGAAATAAACTTCTTATATATTTCTTAAGCACATCTTTCGTACGACACAACCCTTTTATTTATAACAGAACGTCAGCATTTCCTAAACTAGTAAATAGTATCAGATAAATTCATTTAAATTAATTTTTCTCTAAATATATTGCAATAAACAAAAGTGAATTACTATTTTGTACATAGAATTTTTAGACATATAATAAAAATATTGCCCTAATTTATTAGAAAATAAAAGCGACAAACGCATTATTACTTCAAGAAGTATTGTCACCCAACAGTTGGTTATTTGCATTGCCTTACCCTGAATCGTTGACAATTTCATGTTTAAACCAAAATAAATCGTTAGATGTAATTTTGAAAAACTGTGGAAGTGTCACTATAGGGAAACAGTGCAAGGCTTATAGTGTTTCAACAATGCTTGTGCCTCATGAAAATGCCTTACAGTCGAAAGTGTTCAGTGAGTTCGTTCCCCCATTAGATATTAGCAGAAAAAATTAAAAATAATAATATTAATCTGACCGAACTGTTAATAAACGAAAATTATAAAACAGTTTCTAAGCATATTCCTGAGCTGAACATCGCTAGCCATAAACTAGAAAATTCACAAACAATCTCCAAAAAAGTAATATTCAATCAACTTATAATATTTCTGGTTCTGTTCTAGCTTATATTGTATCTGTCCATTTATCCAAATTGGAACATTTAATCTTATATTTTTACCATACTGTACATATTAGAATTAATTAATTATAAGCAACCTACTTTTATTATTGGAAATGACGACAATCGATGTGTGCAAAATCAGCATTTATTGTATATAAAAGGTGATCAATTTCATTAATAAAATCAGATTCAAACTTATTGTTGTTTCTCTTACTTAAATTGTGCCCAAGTCACCATTGGCCTAGCAACGCTAGTAGAGTCGTGAGACTGCGCTCTAACAATTACTTTTCTTTAGCCTTATTGTAGCAGGTGCTCTGTCTGGTTACATTGGGCCCTTCTTTAAACCTGAAGCAAGTGCTTTGTCTGGCTTGGGTCCTTTTTTCCAACTTACAACAAGTGCTCTAGTCTGGTTGTAAGTTACCTATCTTACGCCCTAGTGCAAGTGCCGTGACTCTAAGTCCTGTCTGGTACTAAGGCCCTTCTGCTCTTCTATCCTAAACCATCAGGATCAAACAGAAAATACCATCCAACCTCCTGGAGCGTTCATGGTCCTTCGAGCAAAAAGTTACAACGGTCAAGAATCAGCAGCCTGCAACAGCAGGCAACCAGAGTCCTAGAGGTCCCACCAGTAGCGATCCTCAGGTCCATCAGCCAGAGTCCCAGAGGTCCCACCAACAGCGGGCCCAGAGGTCCAACCAAACCAAGCAGCCATCAACCAGAGTCCTAGAGATCCCACCAGTAGCGATCCACAGGTCCATCTGCCAGTGTCCCAGAGGTCCCACCAACAGCGGGCCCAGAGGTCCAACCAAACCAATCAGCCATCAGCCAGAGTCCTAGAGGTCCCACCAGTAGCCATCCAGAGGTCCATCAACCAGAGTCCTAGAGGTCCCACCAGTAGCGATCCTCAGGTCCATCAGCCAGAGTCCCAGAGGTCCCACCAACAGCGGGCCCAGAGGTCCAACCGAACGAAGCAGCCATTAACCAGAGTCCTAGAGATCCCACCAGTAGCGATCCTCAGGTCCATCAGCCAGAGTCCCAGAGGTCCCACCAACAGCGGGCCCAGAGGTCCAACCGAACCAAGCAGCCATCAACCAGAGTCCGTCCTAGAGATCCCACCAGTAGCGATCCTCAGGTCCATCAGTCAGAGTCCCAGAGTTCCCACCAACAGCGGGCCCAGAGGTCCAACCGAACCAAGCAGCCATCAACCAGAGTCCTAGAGATCCCACCAGTAGCGATCCTCAGGTCCATCAGCCAGAGTCCCAGAGGTCCCACCAACAGCGAGCCCAGAGGTCCAACCGAACCAAGCAGCCATCAACCAGAGTCCTAGAGATCCCACCAGTAGCGATCCTCAGGTCCATCAGCCAGAGTCCCAGAGGTCCCACTAACAGCGGGCCCAGAGGTCCAACCGAACCAAGCAGCCATCAACCAGAGTCCTAGAGATCCCACCAGTAGCGATCCTCAGGTCCATCAGCCAGAGTCGCAGAGGTCCCACCAACAGCGGGCCCAGAGGTCCAACCAAACCAAGCAGCCATCAACCAGAGTCCTAGAGATCCCACCAGTAGCGATCCACAGGTCCATCTGCCAGAGTCTCAGAGGTCCCACCAACAGCGGACCCAGAGGTCCAACCAAACCAAGCAGCCATCAACCAGAGTCCTAGAGGTCCCACCAGTAGCGATCCAGAGGTCCATCAATCAGAGTCCTAGAGGTTCCACCAGTAGCGATCCACAGGTCCATCAGCCAGAGTCCCAGAGGTCCCACCAACAGCGGGCCCAGAGGTCCAACCTAATCAAGCAGCCATCAACCAGAGTCCTAGAGGTCCCACCAGTATTGACCCACAGGTCCATCAACCAAAGTCCCAAAGGTCCCACCAACAGCGGTCCCAGAGGTTTAACCAAACCAAGCAGCCATCAACCAGAGTCCTAGAGGCCCCACCAATAGCGATCCACAGGTCCATCAACCAGAGTACCAGAGGTCCTACCAACAGTGGTCTCAGAAGTTCAACCAGGTCCAACAGCGGTCAACCACATTCCCAGAAGTTCCACCAATAGCGGTTCCAGGGGTCCAGCTAAGCCCATTGCAAGATCAACAGAACAATGATGGAAGAAATGAACTTACGTGCTGCTCAGCAAGAAGAACTAGGCAAAAAGATCATGCAGCTTTACACCAACTGTAAAAAAGATGGCCAATCAAGAAAAACTGAACAGTATGTAGAACAAAAACTTGGAGCACTAGAAGAACTATGGGATATGTTCAAGAAAATGATCATGAACTAAACGAGTTCAATGAACCAAATCACGCCTACTTTACTAAAAAATACCTGCAACAAATAAAAGAGAGGTATGAGACTTGCAAGAAGTACCTTGAAACGATCAATGATGAATTACAAAATAGTCCACAACTCTTACTTTTGAAGAAACAAAATCTTAAGTGTGAGGAATTGGATAGAACAATCGACAAAATCAACCAAGATCTAACTGAATCAAAATCAAGAATAAGGTATGAATTACAACAGAAAAAGCTGGTAAAACAAAGAGAATGCACTGTGAAGCAGCATGTGAAAACCAAGAAATCAAAAGTATCTTATTTTCAAATCATTCAACTATTTATGTTATGGTTCAGTTGGATGCTTCTCCCAAAATTTCAAAGCAGCTATGTTATAAAATATCCCGAAGGAGGTATTTACATCGAACATAGAACAAAAATCAAGGAAGACATCCAGAATGTAACTAGCGTCGTAAACAATTTTGAGATGCTGTGTAACAAGACAAGACAACTATCGGAAGAAACGCACTGTGAAATATTGGACCGTCATCTACAAGAGCAACAACATTTTAGATGGATTCTTAAGACCCTGCAAGAGATACAACTTCGTCCAAAAAGAGGTTTATTGGAAAAAATTTATGACGTTCGTTTTTGGCGTCAACGATGAGGTCTACGAGGATATAAATAATATAAACAAAAATCAAGAAATGTTGATAAAAGCTTCCAATCACCAGACACAATTCATTATCTCCGCACTATCAACATTCAATACTACCGAACGAAAAATAAATAACCAACTTCGCAGATTCCAAAGAAGGCTTAATCAAGGATTAGAAGCAATTCAATCTATGAACAAATGGTTTTCAAGTATAGACATTAACAGCCTAAACATTCATGTCCTAAGCACTTATCAAATAGCAACTAACTACATTGCAGAAATAAGTTCATACTACGAGAATATGATAAATATCCAGTTTAACAGGGGAACAATCTACGACATAATAATAATCAGGCCTATGATGTATCATTTTCTGTTATTTTAACAGCAACGTTAAGTTACCTGTCACTGTTTATTCTATACGTCAAAATAGAGAGAAGTATAGATGTTGAGCTATAACATGGCTGTTAAAATAACAGGAGTAGATACATCATAGGCCTGCATATCTCCAACGTATCTCCATACTCTGATAACGGATATCAACAGAAAATTACCGCACAACTTAAAAGCATTATCTACGCCTGTGATAAAAATGTCCCTATGTCAGAATAGCGGCCACTTCCAAGTTTTTGGCTATTTTCCCATAATAGATATATCACAGTTTGATGTTATAAAAGCAACCCCAATTCCAGTACGAATATCCAACAACTCTTACTGGACATTAGATATATCGAACGATTATATCGCGATCGATTATAACTGTCAGCTTTACTTTCAACTCCATAAAGAAGAATTCGAACGATGCTTGAAATTAAAACATCACATGTTTCTCTGTTCTCCAGATGTTATAAGAAACATTAATAACGACGGCAACTGTATTATTGATGAAATATACCATAAGCCTGAAGCCAAGAAATGCAAAACTTTCACAAATTCAGTGCAGGCTACTATATGGAAATAATTTGCACTAGTGCAAATTATCAGATAATTGCATAGTAACTGTGCGAAAACTGGTGTTTTGACATTTTTTGACAAAAAATTTAAATTTTTGATTTATGAAATTCTCTCATTAAATACAACTCGTGCAATGGAAATATATTTAAAATTTTCGACAAATTTGCACTTATGCGTTTTTAACTGAAAATGCATTCGAGCAAATTTCCCAAAAATTATCAATAATTTCCATTTCACTAGTTATATTACTATTGAAAATTGTTTCCCCAAAATATTACAACAATTTTATTTGTCTCATTTCAGCAACACGAATATTGTGTTGCAAAGAGTTTTCTG